GGAAAGAGGGGTGGAGGATTTCCCTCACCCCATCTTCTTGTTTTTGTGTGGCAGTACTCCTTTTACTTGTCTGTGTTTTGAATGGAAGAAAGACATCATTCCCAAGATTGACTTATTAATAATAATAATAAAGGCAAAGAAACTGAATTATAAGTTGGTAGGGTGATTTTTTTTTTTTTGTTTTTGTTTTTTTTAATGTTCTATATACTGACCATTGTAACAAGCATTTTCTATGACCCAGAGTGTTTGGGAATTTTTTTCTCCATACTGTTTACAGCTGGTTTGCGAAATTGGGGTTTTGCACAACATCTGTTGTAAAGGGAAACTAATAAAACCCCTTCATCCCCAAAAGATAACTTGAACTTAAATTTCTTTTATTTTTTGAGAAGAAAACCAGACGGGGGGATAAATGTATATTCAGAAGGATGTAAAACTAGCATTATGAAGTTCAATTTTTTTTTTTTTAATATCTTGAACAGTTTAAAGCTAGAATGTGAAAAACTGGCCAGTGAGAAGACCGAGATGCAGCGACACTATGTCATGGTAAGCACAGCATAACAAATTCAAAATGTCTATTAGCTTGGTTATACTAAGATAGGAATATGTTCAGATTCTTGGAGCAACCAGATAGATTAGGATAGTAGTGCTGCTTTGTTGAAGTGGCATCAGTGTTTCCATTATAAAGCTTTAGTTTCAGGGGTCTCTACTTTTTTCTTGTGTGTGTATCAGTTAAGTTCTACGTGAAATTTACCTTTTAAACATGGGAATTTTTCCTCAAAATACTAACGGACAAACTGTTAGTCTATCAAAGGTGGATGCAACTTTATTAACTGATCAAGAAAATGTTTTCACTTTTGCCAGGTTCTCTCCCTTCTCGTGGCTATTATTTGTCGACCGTATGATTTAGATTATTCTTTTCTGGTATGTGCATGTGTATGGGGAGGTAGGGGGAGACCAAGGTAGGGGCAAGGGAGTGAACCAAAATGTAAGAAGTCCTAATTCTTAGAATAACTGCTGCTCATGAGCTGTTCATTCATACTGTTTTGCTTTATTCAGAGTATCAGTGAGCTGAACTGTAGAAAGGATTTCCTTGAGAGTTGTGGTCTGTCTGGTTAAATAACTTGCATAGGAAGAAATCTCTTAAATACATAATTGTATGATGGATCATGATGACACCAAAGGAGCTATTGCTATCTGCTCTTTTGTGTTTCAAAGAGGGTGTAGTTGCTTTCCATTTGTATATGTCACAGAAGTCTAATATTTATAGAAGGAATAAATAAACATAAAAAATTACTTTTGCCAAAGGACAAACATGTTACGGCTTGCATTTGTCTTTTCTATGTCAGATGTGCCTACATACTGGAGCATAGATGATATTATATTATACATTATACACTGAACTGAGTTTCCTGCAATACTGAGACAGAACAGGAAATACTAAGAATGGAATGTCTGCTTTAATTCTGAATTTCCTTGCTCTTTCATTTCTTGCAAAGCTGTGATTTAATTGTAGCTTTGTTTTGTTTTTAATTTAAAATATTGAATATAACCGGTCTGGGCTACATGGCAGATTTATGTGCGTGTCTGGTTTCCAGTACTCCGGGCATTTTTTGGTATCTTTAATGTGTGCTAGGGAACAAAATTTTGAGCATTTTCCATGTATTTTCACTGCTTCTCATCTTTGATTCCTGTTATGATTTTTTTTTGTTTGTTTTTTTGTTTTGCTTAATCTTTGTTTAATGGCTATTTTCTTTTAAAAACTGACATTACTGCCTGCCAAATTTAAAAGTAGAGGGGAAAATCGAGTGGTGTAAAGTTCTTGTTCAAATTTTGAGAGCTTGCAAATGCTGGTATCTCTTTTTATGGTATATGGTGCCTCTATATGTGACATGACTTAAAGTGAATTTGGGAATCGGTTGTACGATTACAAATTCTAATGGAATCAATTTTTCTTCTTTCTCAGTATTATGAGATGTCCTATGGGTTGAATATAGAGATGCATAAGCAGGTAGGCAAACATTTTCTTCTACTTAATGATGTTACATATCACTCCTTTCTAATGTTAAGGTAGATTCTGTATTCTGTGACTTGACTTACTTGCATGTGTAAGTGGCTGAATATTTTTTGTGTTCTGAAATCTCGGTGATATGTATGATAAGAACCTAGAGGGTTATTTCATATTATTCCCATTTTAATAACAGACATTAGTTTTGTTATCTCTGTAATCCCCATCACAAAATTACTTCCATTTACTGCAAAGAGACTATGAACTTGTCTAAGGTTATTTCAGATGAATAAGGACTTTAGGTTCAGGTCTGTCTAAACTCTGATCTTTATCACCTTCTGGAGTAAGTTACACGTTGGGCACAATGGGAAGAAGCGTACTATAGAAAGGAGTATAGAAAAAGAGTTGTTGCTTTTACTTGAACTGGAAGGGGAAGAATTTTTACCGAGTCTACAAAAGGGATTGATGCAGAACCATGTGCTGGACCCTTGAAGCTACTTTGTTTGGACTTTCATCAGGAAAAGTCTGTTTAGTTCCCAAATGTCTATAGGGTAAATGAACTTGTTGAGAGAATGTTAAGTTTCAGCCCCATGCCGTTGTTTAAGCAAAAGCAGTGGAATGGAGTGTAGTAGCAGAAATCAGAATTTCCTATTCAATCTAATGTAGTCGGGAGGAAAATGAAATGAAAATCTCACCTCTTTTTCTAGTGACAGAACTTGGTATTTGTTGGGGGTTAATGGAGGCAACCCATTGCAGAAAATATTTTAGTAATTCACAAGTGTTGCTAGCTAATGTGATCTATGGAATTACAGAAATGGGTGAATGGAAGAGGCCAGAATACGGTAAAATTGGTTTGTACGCATTTCTGTTTAAAGCATGGGATTTTAAACTTGTTTTCTTTAATGGGATTTCTTTATCTTGTTGAGAACAAGGACACAGTCAAATGCTGTTTTATATTTATTTGTCCTGTTAAACATTCTGAGGCCTCTGTCAGGATTATGGGCACACTGTGCTAAGCATTTGTCACAGAGGCGATCCTCACTCCAAAGAGACTTGTCTGAGGTTCCAATCCTACAAAGACTTGTGCGTGTGCGTAAACCCTATGTACGACTATTCCAATTGAATTCAGTAGTGCAACTCAGATGCAGCGTTAAACATGTGCATGGATATGCAGGATGAGGACAGAATTTAAGACTCAATAAATGAGCATAACTAACAATTGGAGGGAACAGGAGGACATGAAGGATGAGAGTAGCAACAGCAAGGTTATATTTTCATAACTGGTGGGTGGCCTTTCACAGTTCATTGATACCAGTGGAAAGATTTCTGTTGGGTGCATCAGGTTCTGGATCTGATCCTAAATGCACAGTTAGATGGTTTCAATACTATGTTTATAATCTAAACTATTAAAATTAACACATTAAGAATTAGAAGAACCTAGTTAGAGATTTCCCATAAGCACCGGGAAGTAATGATTGGAGTCAAACATGTTGTAAAAGCAAATTATCTAGAGTTATTTACTTTAGTTTTTTTTTTTTTTTAAAGGTGTAAACTCTTTTCTTCACATCTCCCCCCTCGAAGAAAATATATGCAAAAATAGCGAAGACCTGAAATCAGCAATTGTACTCTAAATATTTAACTTTAGAAATTATATACAGTTAGTGTCAGGAGTGTTCACAGTATTCTGGAGAAATTAAACATTTAATTAAAAGTAAAGTTGGGGATTACTAAGGATGGAGTTTAATTGGAACATCATTTTCCATTATTGTCATTCCTGTTCAAATTAGTAACATGAATGCTACGCCCTTAAACAAAATACTTTAATACTTCGGTAACTCAAATAAATAACAAGTAAGAATCCTGTTTCCTATCATTCTGCAATCTATTTTGGCTCTGTATCAGTTGCGTCTCTCTCCTTTTGCTGGTTTAGCAACCACAAACCATTTCCTATTTCACCTTATGATGCCAATGTTTTGACCCAGTTTCTCATTCAAACAGATTTTGTTCCCTATGATCCCTGTGAAAGATTTTCAAACCAGCACCTTAAGTTCCCCTCTTCTTCTCCCCTAATCTTCAAATTCTACCTATTTGAAATTGAGCGATTCCCTTCTTTTTTTTTTTTTTTTCCCCTGGCTTTCTAAATTTGATCACATAAAAAAAAATCCCAAGGGCAGTTTATCACATTATGAAATACAGACAGCCCTGCAAACCACCTACTTATTATATTTTCTTCTTTTTTCCCCTTTAGCACAGAGGCATATCTGTCTTTATTTGTTTTCCTAGGCAGACAGCCTTGGTTCCTCTTAGCTTCTTTTCCAGATGTACTCACTGGTTGCCCTTGTAATGGAAAGCAGGCAATAATGCAGTGAAGTTGCCCTGCAGCATAATTGGGCCTAGTTCTCAAGATCAGGTTAGGCTTATTCACTTATTAGATTTACGTCTCAAAGGGTTCAAGAGTAGGACTCCCTAGAGTCCTTGGAAGTACCCTAGTAATTGGTGGCCCTGATATTTGAAACCTTTGTGTATTTTTCTTTTAAAGCTTCTGTTCTTCTTGGCTGCTCCCAGCCACAGAGTATTTATTTTTAGAGAAGTTTTTCATTGGAACAGAAAATGATGGCTGTGATGGAGTCATGACTCTGTGACTTAGCAAATTGATAAAAGGATAAACGCACACAGCAGTGACAGTATGTGTGCATGTGTGTATGGGGGGGGTGTGAGAGTTACTTTTCCCACCCCTCATGTGATGCTCATCATCAGTCATCCTGTGTTGATTTTGATAGAAGACTATTAAAGTGAAACCTATGGGGAATTTGTCATTCTGAAAGGAAAGCTAATGTAATTAGTACCAATTAAAGTACATTTAGTAAATTGGATTTAATCTTAATTAAGCCTGCATAATGTTGCCAATTTTTAACAATTATGTTTGAGAACATAATTAATTTAAATTTTGGTAACTGAGTAAATAGCATTAGACTGGTTGAATTAGTCATTTGTATTTTTTTTTTTTTTTTTTTTTTTTTTGAGACAAGTCTGGGGTATGTTGTGACATGAGGCATTAAAGCCTAAAATATTAACCTAATTTCTGGTAATCCCACCAGAATCAATAGAGCTGAGCAGACAAATTTAAAAGAAATAATGGAAAGTTAAAAGTTGTGGGTTGTAATGTGAGCTGAAGCTCTACACCCTTAAATTTCAGTATTACAATAAAGGTAAAAAATGGCATGTAATTTGAAAATGTCTGTTTCTTGCTACATTGTCTCAAAAGGGGTTTTCTTAAAGTTAAGAAAATAATTTGTGAGTATCAATTAATAAGCTGTTCTAGATTCTTAGTATTGTTTTATTTTTTTTGTCGGTCACTTAATCTAATTTATAGCACTAGGGAATTTTATGGTAAGCAGTTTGTTTAAATTGCTACAAACAAGCATGCTTTCTGATCGTTTTAATCCAATATTACTAATTATTGCCTAAAGTAAGTGTCAATTTTTCACTATAGGCACAGGCATTTATGAATGGATGAGTGATGAACATAAACGGGATAAAAATTCCCATTTCATTTTGATTGTTTATGGAGATGACAAATTTATATTATGATGTCTTGTCTCCAGTTAAAAATTTTCCATTGAATTTTTTTTAGAGAAAATGCTGTATTCCAGCATTTTTAAAGGAAGTTCAGATCTTTAAAAAGCTGGATATTAAAAAATAAACAAAATGATTTTTTAAAAATCACAGTAAGAACCCCACCTCCCCCTCCTTTCATTCCAATCCATGTAAATTTTATTATGAGACTTGGGCAACAACCATTTGAGTGCTGCTAAAATATTAATTGAATAGAAATGAAAGGGCTCTACTAGCTGATAGGATATCATAATCATAGCTGCAGTAGTCGATGGTAAATGATGATAAATGGCATTAGGAACCTTTTAGCAAACTGTAATAACTACGAGGAGGGAAGCAGTATGGATTTGCATTATATCTGATACCCTGTAGTACCAAGTGGATTGCCAATACTGCTTGTTTAGCATTTTCTAAGGGCAATAGGATATTGATTTCTGACTTACAAGGAACGGCTCTATTTTCACCATTGAAAAGTATTGCAGGTTGTTAAGAAGAAATTGACTTGAAGAGGCCTGACTGCTGCCCATCATGGAGCAAATAAAGCAAAACTGCCGAAGCATGGTGGAGCAGCGAGATGGGGCCCTCAGCAATTTGTTGCTATTAATTTACCATGCTCGACAGCAAATCAATCGGCATCTACTTCATCTGCTGGAGAAAATGCTGTCCAGGGCAGATAAAAGGCCCTGTGTGGAACGGGGAATAAACTGGATTGGCCGAACGGAGGCTGCAGTTAATGTGTAAATAAGTGAAATCAAGGCCACTGTTGCAGAGGAAGCTGTTTATAATTAGGTTGGGGCTTTATAGTGAGCTATTTAAGAAAGTAGTATAGAGCTTGGAGAGTATGGGGAGATTTATTGCCGACTGAGTTAATATATTGCTTGTGCGACATCCCAGCCTTGAGTCTGCTTACTTCTTGTGCCTTAGTAAATTATTTTGGTAAAAGGGCAAAGATGGGAATCAATTTGTTTAATTTAAGGCTGAGTTTTGACTGTTTTTCATCTTTGTGGCCATAACATGCATAGATCACTGAGATTTACTTTTTATGTATAGACCATACATAACAGAAAAGTGTTCATTTTTTATGACAGGAGACTGGGCTCTATTTGTGTTTATATGTATACATATTTTTAAAAAAATAATAAAAAGGTAGGCTGAGATTGAAGGTGTAGTGTCTTCCATTTGAAGAATAGCTGGAGAACCAGCTAAAATTACACTGGTTGAATTTGCCCTCCATCATAAATAGTAGGAAGGATTTAAGAGAGCTATAAGCAGTGGTTAATCAGAACTGAACTGGAAAACTTCAAAATGGAGAGAGATTAGAAGTGAGATTTGAAAACTGCAGTATCAGAGTGCTGTTAAATGGGGGAAAAACCTGCTTGTGGCTCTTT